ACATGCTTTTGAACTTTGCCAAGTGATCGTGCTGGTCCTGCGCCGCGTCACACGCTGCGCAGCTACCCTAATTAATACCCATTATGTAAATTGATCGTGCTACAATGCGCGTACCATATAAACATAAATTCATAGTACGTAAAAAGAGAAAAAAATCAACTTTCTTATTTTCTTATTCAATCATTTTAAATTTGGTTAATTCACTTGACATAGACAGTCATTTTAAAAAAAATGGCTAATTTGTTACAAAGATTAGAAGAATGGAACAGACAAATTGAAAAATCAATCTCCAAGAATGAATCGATTATTAAAGCTTTCAAATTCGAAAAATTTAACATCGTCGATAAAATTGGTGAAGGTGGTTTTGGAACTGTTCGCAAAGCTAGATGGGATGATTGTGGAATGGATGTTGCCCTAAAGAAACTTAAAGTTGATGAACCTAATGAAAAGGAGATTAAATCGTTCATTGAAGAGGTATTATTAGCATTACGGAGAAATTAGATTATAACTCCGAAATGTATTGTCGTATTTAATAAGTTATATATTATTCATAGCTTACATTCAATCGAAAAGTTGCACCTCATCCTAATATAATAGAGTTTTACGGGATTGTAAAAGGTATTATTGCTCGATTTAATTAACTATAAAATGAAATAAACTAATATAAATTCTTGCATAGATTCCAATGGGTATTACAATATGGTCTTGCAATTTGCCAAGGATGGAAACTTGAGACAATACCTGAGAAAAAACTTTGATAGACTTCAATTTGATGATAAATTACGTATTGCTCGGGAAATAACGCTTGGGCTTGCATATTTACATACCAATAACATTGTTCATCGTGATCTAGTAAGATATTTAAATCCTCAATTCAAGAGTTAAATGTTTTAAATGTACTATATGTAATCGGTCTTTTATTTTTATATAAATTTATTTATTTATAGCATTCCCAAAACATCTTAGTTGATGATGGAAAAATGAAGATTGCAGATTTCGGTTTAGCTAAAGAAGCTAATGAGAAACCACCTTCAACTGCAACTACATCTCTTGTTCATGGAATGCCTGCTTATATAGGACCTGAATGTTTTTTCAATCCTAGGAACAGACGTGATAAAAAATCCGATATTTACAGTCTTGGTGTAATTTTCTGGGAAATTTCAAGTGGAAGACAACCATTTGAGTCATATCCGCATTATCAAATTGTCATTAGCATACATGGAGGCGCAAGAGAAGAACCTGTGGAAGGCACACCTTCTTATTATGTTGAACTTTACAAACAATGTTGGGATGGAGAACCTAATAAACGCCCTGACGTAAAGTACATTATTGATACATTGGATATATATGTTTCCGCAAAAGATAATAATTCACTGTCTGATGATGATAATAGTAAGAGTAACAATAACAGTAACAATCAGAGCAACAATAGTAGTAAAAATAGCCACGGTGCTTATAGCACAAGTCTTTTAATACCTGATAATATTAATGACGTTGTGGACGATGAAGCGAATAACGATGTGATTATCAAGAAGAATGATGGAACAGGTTTTGAAATAGGTAATGAAGTGAATAACGATGTGACCACCGAAGAGAAGGATAATGAAGCAAATATTGTTGTGGATGATAAGGAAAATAATGATGTAATCACCGAAGAGGAGAACATTGAAGCGGATAATGAGGCTAATACCGAAGAGAAGAGTGATAAGGCAAATGTTGAAGTGAATAGTAATAATAAAAATAGTAGTAATGTGATAAATCTAGACCATTTTTCACTGATTTCAAAGTGGATTGACGGGATTGATGAAATTGATGAGGATCCTCCCAAACAAGACAAGTCAACTAATTCATATCAATTTAAATTACTTATCAGAGGAACTGACAATGGATTCGATGCACCAACGTTTCATCAAAAATGTGATGACCAAGGTCCGACTTTAGTCGTTTTGAGAGTCAAAGACAAAGATGAAATTTTGGGTGGTTACAATCATTTAAGTTGGAATCGAAAGAAGAAAATAAATGTTATTAATCAAAAAACAAATAAAAGTTTTATTTTTGCTCTGGATAAGAACGATATAAAGAAATCTATAATAAGTCGACCTACCAAATCTATATTATCATTCAATCTTTCGAAAAAATACGGATTACATTTTGCTCGAGATTTATGTTTAAATAAGGATTTTAAGGAAGATTGTAAAAATTTTTGCAAACAGCTTGTTTATGATAAATCAATTAGAGACTCTAAAGATTATTTTTCTGTAGAAGAATATGAAGCTTATCGAGTAATCCCAAATGATTTGAATTAGTGATGCCGACATAACGTTTTATTATGTTTTTAGGTTTTGTTAAATGGTAAAACTGGATTTTAATATACTGTATATTATATTTAAAAAAAAAATAAAAATAGGTATAGCTTTATTCAAAAATATTGATTAAAAATTAAACCACCGCTATTATCAAATTTAAAGTCAAACTATTAACGAGGTTTTGACGAGGCTTTTTGACTGAGTATGAAAATTTTCTAATTTTTTATACTCAGTCAAAAAGCCTCGTCTAAA